CTCTCAGAGACTGAAAAAGCTAGGCCTGAAGATTCCCTTAGTAGAGCCCAGGAACAGGAATGCCCGAGGAGTAGGGGGTGGCACTAGGGTTTTGCACACGGCCCTGGTCCCGACTGGAATTCAGGGCAAAGAGGGCATAGTAGAGCTAGACGTTTTGCAGGAAGACGTGCCCCCTTTGCTTCCAGTAGGACTTCAGGAGATGCTAGGTTCCAAGATAGATCTCGACAATAACGTTATGAGTTTAAGGCGCCTGGGCGTGGAGACTCCGATGAGGAGGATGCACAGCGGCCACAGGACAATTCGAATAGACGAGTTTCAATCCCCCCGGAGCTTCAGGTGCCCGGCATCTCTGTTTCAGCAGCATCCAGGACTCAAAGAGAGCGACTTTCAGTGTGACAGCACTGTTGGGGCATACAAGACCTCGGCCATCGTCGATCCTACCTCTCACCTCTTCCACTTTTCCTCCTCTCAGAGGGCCGAATCACCCAGCTACGACGGTCTTCGGGAAAGGTTGGGGCTCGGTCTGGGGGTCTGTCTAGGGACCAGAGGGTCCCGTGGCGATCTCGACACGCCGACAAGGGCCAAGGGGCCCGACATAGGCTCAGGGAATCGTTCCGAACACGACGTCGCGATGGGGCTTAGCCAGCCTGGATCATCAGCTAAGGGATCCGGACACTCAGGGACGAGACGACGCCAGGGGAGATATCGCGACGACGCCTTCGGAGCGATGGTGAGCGGGACCCTCCCCCGGAAGAATCTCATCCACATGTGGGTGGTCACCCTCATCACAGTGTGTATTTTGCTACAGCGGTTCGGCTCGAGCTTTCGAGCTTCAGAGAGGAGCGAATTCCGCTCGCAGCAAGGACTACAGTCACGAAGCCCTTCGCGATTCAGAGATGCCCAGTGGCCCCCCAGTCGGCAGTGTCAATGCCGGCCAGCCGCCGGAGAGGAAGAAGAAGCAGCAGACCGAGGCTCAGCGTCGAGCTCAGCGGCCGCTGACTTTGGTCGACCACCTGATGGACCCGAGCTCCACGTGGACGTACGCGGTCACCGGGACGCAAGTCCCGTCCAGCCTGAACCGCAAGGAGAAGGGGTGGGCGGCCATCGTAGGCAGCATCGTGTTCTGGCTCAACAAGCTCGCCGACGAGTTTGGGCGCATGATGCTCGACAAGAGGTTCTGGCCCACGAACCTGATCAGGCGTCTGCGGGTGATCCCAGACGCGTTCTACACGTGTCGACATTTGCCCACCAGCGTCGAGTACGGGCGCAATGGACATGGACAGTGGTGGGTCTGTTCATCATGCACTATGCGGGTCGCCTACCGCGAGGTCAAGCCCGAGAAGGGAAAGCCGAAGGTCGACGTTTCGTGCGTCTGCAAGCGCACGACGGCCGCGTGCACCTTGTGCGGCAAGGGTTTCGCCCAGCACGGGGCCCCCTCGCAGGACTGGCAGGCCCTGGTCAACACACCGGCTCCGCCGCCAGGGTCGTTTCAGGGCGGAGTCACGCCAGCCGGCACTCTCCCTCCCTGGCCGGCGGCTCGCGACCGTCGGGCGGCGGAGGAGGTCTACCGGCGTCACGAGGAGGAGCAGCCGGACGTCGTGATGGAGGACGTAGAGGAGCAGGCTCGCCAGGTGAGGGCTCAGAGGCGCAAGGGCTCGAGCCAGGCACCCGCCAAGCGTTCCATGATCGAGGGAGCGGCGAGCTCGGACGATGCCAGCAACTCCGGGGAGACGCTCCAGATCCTCAAGAACCTCGCGGCCAAGCAGGAGGCACAGGACCGCGTGATCGCGGGCCTGCAGAGCACCATCTCAGGGCAGATGAACGCTTTGGCCACGATGCAGTCGCAGCTCCAGGCGAACTCGCAGCCAGGGACGCCGCTGAAGCAGCAGTCCGAGTTTCCCCCGCAGCAGGTGCCGCCGCAGTCCACTCAGGCGCACCAGCTCAGCCCGCAGCCAGTCCCATTGGCGGGCGCTCTGGCGCGAGGGCCGGGACACGGCGGGGCAGCAGCGGTGAAGGGCCAGATGGACGAGGCCGGTTGCCAGGGGCCTCCAGGTCTGCATCAGCCAGCAGGAGTTCCTCCCGGCGCGCCTCAGATGTCGATTGCCACGCCACCGGCGCAGGTCAGGCAGACGATCGGGATCGGCGTGACCCCTCAGGTCGCGGGCCTCCAGGAGTGGGGAATCGTCGGGACAGCGCCCGTGACTCCCGCCTACCCGTCGTACGGTCTGCCTCCACCGCAAGCAGCGGGAGCGGCGAGCTCGTCGGTTGCGTGGCCGCCTCCAAAGGGGCATGCGGCATCGCAGAGGAATCTGCTGAAGAAGGACACCGCCAACCCGAAGGGTATCCGCGACAGGGATGGTCAGCTGGTGTCTTCGTCCACCATCAGCAGCATAGCCACATTTCCCTCTGTCCAGCCATCACAGGAGCCGGCGCCAGCCACGCCGGCGGGACATCCCACGGCGACCGCCTGGCAGCAGGAGAATCCGCAGCCACAGGAGCGCCCTGGTCGCCCACAGAAAGCCTCAGACGCAGCTTGGCAGCGGTCCGAGGACGAGCGCGCCTGGGAGGCCCAGGAGCACCAGAAGGACGCGGAGAAGCGCAGGCTGGCCCAGGAGGGCTGGACTCCGACGGGGTGGCAGGACTACCGCTACGACAGCAGCGACGCCAAGTGGAAGTGAGTAGGGTAGCTGAACCATCCAGTACCAGTACCAGGATAGGGGATCCCAATCACCCAAACGTTTTCACCATGGAAGCGGGGTCCCGGGAGTCCTTCGGGAAGCTATGTTCGCTCTTTGAGGTCACCGAATTGGGAGAGAGCCAGGATAAGATCCGTTTCAGATGCCGAGAGCTCGACGACACCATCTTCGGCGATTTCAATTCCGACGACAGGGAATAACAAACGGGAGAGAAAAAGCATATATGTTGATTCGGGGATCTCTAATAAGATTAAGAGTTTCAGGGCTCAGCTGAGGAGGCGAGCTTTTGCGGAGGTGTTCTCACCTCCAAGAATCGTCAAGCACGCCGAGCATGCTGGCATCAAGAGTGTCGGCAGCTTTGATCAGGAGGGAGGATGGGACCTCAGAAAGGAGGATCACAGGCGCAAACTTAGAACCCGCATCCGAGAGGAAAAACCGTGGTTGGTGGTTCTTGAGCCTCCCTGTGATCAGTTTTCGATAGCCCAGAATGGCCAGCTCCACCGAGAAATCTCAGAGCATCAGCGAAGGAAGTGCGCCGAGGCTCTGGTCCTTCTTGGTTTCGCCATGGAAGTGGCTCTGGAACAGCATCAAAATCACAGGAAGTTCGTTTTCGAGCACCCCGTCACGGCTAGTTCCTGGTGTACTAATGTGGTTCGCTTTATCTCGGAGCTCCCGGAGGTGCGTGTCACGGATGTCGACATGTGTCGTTTCGGGCTTTCGATCGCCAAAGGGGGGGAGCTCTCGAAGAAACCCATTAGACTGATGTCAAACTGCGAGGTCTTTCTCCGGCGCTTCGAGGACGCCCGATGCCGGGGTGACCATCCTCACGCCCAGTTGATAGGAGGAGCTATGACCAGCGCGGCCCGAGTTTATCCTTCCAAGTTCTGTAAGGCTCTGGCCGAGGCTATCCGTTCCAGCATCGAGGGAGCTTACCCTCCCCCGACATCAGAGCAGGTCGCCCGTGCCAGACAGTCGGAGTATAGACAGCTCTACCCGGCCGCGAGTTTTCCGGCTGAGGCCGAGGAAGGACAAAACGTGGAGGAGCCTGGTCCCGAGGAAGCCGAGGAAGAAAATCAGATTCCCTCTAGGCTCGAGATTACCCCAAAGGTTCGAAGAATGATCCACAAGGTTCACGTCAATCTGGGTCACCCCCATAAGGAGGTGTTCGTGAAAATCCTGAGAGCTGCTCAAGCCAAGCCAGAGGTCCTGCAGTTCGTTCGCGATGAATGTCAGTGCGGAGATTGTGCCGCACACGCTCGTCCAGACAGCGCCCGACCAGCTGCTGTCCCCAGGACTTTCGAGTTCAATAAGATAGTGGCTATGGACACCTTTTTTGTCACCTTTCAGGATCAGCAGCTGGCCTTTCTCAACGTGATATGTCACGGCACTAACTTTCAGATCGTTGAGATGTATGATGGCACGGCGCTGGGGGCCTGGAGGGCTCTCATGAGGTGTTGGATTCGACCCTTCGGGGTCCCCCTCTTCGCCATCACGGACGGGGGGTCGGAGTTCAAGGGGGAGTTCGAGCGGGGAATAGAACACCTCGGGGTTTTTCAACATGTCACGGACTCCGAGAGTCCGTGGCAAAACGGTAGAGCCGAGAGACACGGGAGCTGGGTGAAAGACATTCTCGTGAAGGCTTCGGAGGGGGTTCTCGTCGCCACGCCGGCCGAGCTCGAAACTCTGGTTCACGAAGTCGTTTCGGCCAAGAATCGATATCTTCATAGGGGGGGTTCACGCCATACCAGCTCGTCTCCGGGATCAATCCCAGGATCCCTAACGACCTCACTGGAGACGACCCCCTACAACTTGTGGGGACCGAAGACCTCTCTCCTGGATCCTGGGATAGCGACACGGCGGCGGCAGAGCACGCCCGCCGGGACGCCATCCGACGCCTGGCCAGGAAAGAGCTCTTCGAGAGCTCCAGTAGGCGGCGCCTCGCGGACGCGGTCCGCTCCTCGGTGCACCGAGAAAAGCACTTCAGCCCTGGTCAGTGGGTCTACGTCTGGAGGAGGGCCCCCAGAGGGGGCCAGAAGACTTTTGCGCTGCAGAAGGATAGGTGGGTCGGTCCTGGGCTGGTCGTTCTTCACAACGGTACCTCTGTGTGGGTGGCCATGCGGTCCCGATTATGGAAGTGTTCCACCGAACAGGTTAGGCACGCCACGACCGAGGAGTCCCGGGGTGCCGAGGTTCTCTCTGACGTTTCAGTTCAGATGCTGCTTAGAGAGGCCCAGACGAGTAATCACCGGGCGGGGACCAATGTCGCCGCGGAAGGGCCCCCACCACCAGAGGCCTGGGGGCCCGATGCTCAGGTCGCCGAGGCCGGGCCGGTTGAAGCCCCACCTGTTGAGCAGGACCCAGGTGCTGGACCTGAAGGGGCGCTTGGAGAGCCTCCACCTCCTCCGCCAGGACTGTCGGGGGGTCCTGGAGAAAGCATGGGGGGGCATTCAGCTGCGGAAGCCGGTGGAAACGCTCTTCGACCGATCCCGGAGGAGAACCAACTCGACGTGGCTTCCGATGCCACCAGGGCTCCCGGGGAGGAAGTGGCGGAAGTCTCCGACGTCAGCCAATCCAGGCAGGTGTCTAGCGGAGGAGGATCCACCGCTGTCATTTCTAGGGGCTCCAGTGGGCCAGAGAGCCGGTCTGTTTTGCCCGCCGCCAGGAGCGTTAGTGACAGGGATGGCGGTCCAGGCAAGACCAGTAGGCGTAGGCAACCACTGCCCCAAGGAGAGAAAAGGGACAGAGGGGACGGGATTAGTTCCGGAACGTCGGCCAACCCTCCCTTTGCCGCCTCTCCCTCCTCCTCCTCTGCTCCGCCTGTTAGTGCTCCCAAGCTCGATGCTTCTGACACGGCCAGTCAACATCGCAGCGCGGAGCCAATAGACCCTGGTCGGCTCAATCGCCTGATGCAAGATAGTGCTCGGCGAGAGCTGTTGGACCTGGGCTCCAGGATTCAGAGATCCCGCACTCTCGGGGAAAGGTTTGGCGGTGCCACTCCCGGCAGAGTGCGGCAGCAGGTGCATGAGCTGGAGAGGCGCTCCGCCGAAGACCGTCGCTCCAGGTCTCCAGAGGGGCAGGGATCCCGGGCGGAGACTCTTTGGGCCTCTTTTTGCGACGAGGAAGTTGATCAAGACACTTTCCGCAATCATCTTGATGAGGAGGTCTGGAACGAGGGATGGAGTGGAGACTGGTTCAGTTACTCCAATGGAAGCGCCGACGTCGAAATCATCCCGGGGCCGGGGGGAAGCTGTGACCTTTCTTTGCTTGTGAACCGAGGGGCCGAGGTCAGGTGCAAAGACCTGAAGGGGGAAGAAAAGGAGCAGTTCGATAAGTCTGACGAGAGCGAATGGAAGGCCATCGCGGAAGGCACTCGTGCCGTGATCGTTCATCCCCCCGAGCAAGCCAAAGAATTGAGACGCCTTTTTCCCACTAGGATTGTCTCCAGTAGGATGGTTAGGAGATGGAAGCCCCAAGAGGGGACACACGCCCCCCCCAAGGCTAAATCTAGGTGGTGCGTGAGGGGTCACCAGGACGAGGATGCGAGCGAGCTTCAAGTTTATGCCCCCACTCCGTGCATGGAGGCTTTGATGCTGTTCTTGGTGGTTTCCCTCATGTACAAGATGTGCATCTATATAGGAGATATTAAGAACGCGTTCTGTCAGTCAGAACCACTCAAGAGGGCCAGGGGGAGGGTTTTTGTCGAGCCATGCGAGGGGGTCCCTGTTCCATCGGGGTCCCTCATTGAACTGATCGCCCCGGTTTACGGTCTCGACGACGCTCCTCTTGAGTTTCACAAGACCACCGCTAATTTCCTTAAGTCGCGAGGTTTTGAACGGACTCGTCTCGAACCGCGTTGGTTCGTGGAAAGGGCCAAGGAGGCCCTCCAGGCCCAGGTCCTCGTTGAAGTGGACGATTGGGCCATTGCGTTCCGAGAAGGGTGCGAAGATAATTATTTGAAACCGTTCCAGACGAGGTTTACTTTTGGGAAAATGAAAAGACTTGATGCCGCCGGGGTGGAGTACATAGGCAGGAGGCTGCGTCTGGACGGCGACAGGGTCCTGGTGGACCAGGAAAAATACATTCTGGAACAGCTTCAGAAGATCCCCCTTGCTCGAGGTCGGAGGGGGAATCACGAAGCCCCCCTGGTCGGCGGCGAGGTGGCCGCCTTCCGGTCGCTCGTGTATAAGCTGCAGTGGGTGGGCAGGGAGACCCGCGCCGAGGCCGCGGGCACGGCCTCGATTCTTGCTACGAAGGTCAACGGCCCTTCGGTCAAGGACCTGTTGGACGCTAACAAAATGGTGGACCACCTAAGATCCACCGCATCTCTTCCCATAATAGTCTGGAGGTTTCGACCAGACGGTTTTGTGCTGGCCACGGCCAGCGACTGCGGAGGCATAGGGGCCGAGGATAAGAAGGGGGCCCCCCAGCACCCTCGAGAGGCCTGGCAAATTTATATCGCCGATAACTCTTTAGCTCACGGGTCCCGGGCCCGGGTGACCCCGATAGCATGGCGATCCGGAAAATTGCGCAGGCAGGTGGCATCCACCCTGGCAGGGGAGACGTTGTCTCTCTTTAGTGCCTTAGGTGAGGCGGAGTGGCTGCAGATTTTGCTGCTCGACGTCACTCGCGGCAATGTTGTCCACGAGCGGTGGCGGGAGAACCTCGGCCCGTTCGTGAGTCTTCTCAAGGAGGACTGCACCGTGCTTGGAGAGCCGGTGACAGGCAACGTCAGCGTCGCAGATGCGAAGGGGATCTATGACACCCTCTCGAAACTCACGTCGGGGACCAAGTCGGATAGGAGGGCCGCCATAGATCTAGCCGTCGTCAGGGAGACCATGGATCGGATAGGGAGCGCGATCAGGTGGGTACCACATCCCCACATGCCCGTGGATTGCCTCACCAAGGCCGATCTGGCCAAGACGAATGCTGCCCAACTCGCTCTGCTCAAGCCGGGCATGCTTAGGCTCAGATCGGAAGAAGATTCCCTAAAAGATCGCAGGGACGCCCCCCAGGTCAAGAACCGATCCAGAGCCGAGTCCAGGCGACAGCTGCAGTGATTTCTGCCCTCTGTCTCGCCTCTTTCACCCCTCCCTTTTCAAGGCACTGGTGTGGCAAGAGTTTCTCTTCGCGTAGTTTTGGAGCGCAGTTTTTCCTGTCCAAGTGTTCTCGCAGTGCCGGTGACTGCCCCCGCGGGGAACACCAGGTGGCCAGAGTGCGTGCGATTGGACGCAGGAGTGTGGACCCTTGCTCAGTCCAACCACTCTGCCTAGCCACGAGGACGGTGTCCAAAATGCTCACCAGCGCCAGTACTGCTAGTATGAATCGTTTGAAGAATGCCAGATGGGTCATGGATGTTGCACCTCTGTTCAAGCCCACTATTTTTCGGGGGACTGTGGGAATGAGCGCCAACGGCTCATTGATTTGCAGTTGTGTCCTCCGTCGTTTGCCTATGTGCTTGAACATACAGAGAGGGGTGCGACGTCCGTACCCATTTTGGCTCAAGCCGGACGTCCCTCACAGCCCCTCTCTGTCAATCCCAGTTACCTTCCATTCTATCCCACCTTCCCCCTGATATCCTGGCTGACCTCCGCTGGTGGCCTTGGGACATTGCTCGGACGGGCTCGAGGAAAAGGGCAGCATCTCATCCTGAGCTGACATCGTGGGGAGACAAAACGTCTTGGTTGAGTTAGGCACGTCCCTGAACTGCTTTTGTAGTGGTCGTGTTTTTGTCAGTGCTTTCGTTTGCGCGTGGGCCTTGTTTTGTGGAAGTGGGTGGGGCGGGGGCCGCTTCCGCGGAGGCGGCGGGAGGGGACGCAGCGCCGAAGGCGTCCTCCCGTCGGGGACCTGGCGGGGCTGTCTTAGAGGGGCTCGAAGGCTTCAGACGGGCCGCAAAAGTCCCCCCAGGAGGCCGCAAGAGGGCCCCAAACTGCATGTGCTTGACGTGCTCCTTGGGCTTGCGAGAAGGGCGCTCGAGCACGTGCGTCATGGGGCCTTGTCGGGGCCTTCCTCGGGCCAGGCTGGCCCCCTCTTGGGGGCCGAGGCGGGGTCGCCAGTCACACATCCTGGCAACCGGAAAGGAGGAGATGGGATGAAGAGGGGGGACCAGGGGGAATATTCAAAAATAGTCAAAAAATAATAAAAAAAAATATTGTGGGCACTATGTTTGGATTATTTTAGGGCATCTTTCGGGCATTTCGTCCAGCAGGGAGGCGGAATGAGCCCACAGGGGGGCGGGGAGCAGGCGGGGGCAGGCGCCGGCAGCCGCGACTCGCTTCGAGCTCCCGGCAGCTCGCTCTGCGCGACGCCGCCCCTTGTGGTCTTAGGTCGGGCCTGTCACCCTACATGGGGATTTTCGACGAAAGATAAAAATATATCAAAAATACCCCATTAACAAAAAAAAAAAAAAAAAAAAAAAAAAAAAAAAAAAAAACGAAAAATAGTCCCCAGACTATTTTTGGACAATTTTTGCTTACTTTTTGGGTGCATTTTATTTTCGTCGAAAATCCCCCTGTAGGGGGACAGGCCCGACTTAACCTTGGTCGGCGGCGCGCCCAGGGGGGAAGTGAGAGGGGGAAAGGCCCTCTCAGAAGACGGCGGGGTCTCGGAAGCCCTCTGGCCTTAGCTGCCCTGCTACGCACGCGTTGAAACGCGACACGTGCCGTGTTCGAGACGTCCGTGTGAATGCCTTGCCTGTTGGCTCGATGTGTTGGTCCCGCGTCTCGGCGAGCGCATCGCACCAGAGTGTTACGTGCTGCGTATCGGGGCAGCTAGGCCTCCGGTTTACGAGAAGGTTTCTGCGGTTCCGGGAAAAGCTCAGAATAAGATTCTCAGAAGCCCCGAGGCATTTCCGAGCCAACAGAGAAGGCCTGCCCCCTCTCACTTCCCCCGGGCTCGCCGCCAACCTGGGGCAGGAACGCTGGTGTCTTCAAGATCCCCGGGGACGTCAAGAACGGCGCCAAGGCCCGGCCGTTCCCCGCGCCTCTCCCCGGGAGCCCAGCACTCGCGGCTCCGCGTGGGCCTTGTCCTCGTCCAGGGGCTCCCCATGCTGTTTCGATCTATCTCCCCAAAACCCATCCCCATCCCGATCCCACCATCCCACAAACACAGTTGGGGATCTTGAGGTCCTCTTGGGGCTCTTTTGTTCGTGGGGCCCTCTTGGGCCGTGGGAGCCCTGAAGGGCCTCTTGGGGCCATCTTGGGAGGCCATCGATTAACAGTGGGGGTCCTAAATTTGTGTTCCCCGCTGGGGCCATCAACATCGCCTCTTGGGGCGCTCTTGGGCCGCTCGTTGGCGCTCTTGGGGCCGTCTGGGGAGCATATTGGGCCCCCTTGGGCCTCTCTTGGGCCATCTTGGGGCCATCTTGCGGCCTCAAAAGAGCATCTGGGGGGACATGGCGAGAAGTCACAAATCATTGGTTGTCCTTAAGAGTGTCGGCTTCTTGGGGGGTCTTGAATGGGCTTCGAGATGAATTGGAATTGTCTTGTGGCCCTCGTCGGGCATCTTGAAGGTATGCCGAAAGTCATATTGAACCATCGCCGGCTATCTTGAGCCACCTTGGAGGCCATCTTGGAGCATCGGAGGCCTTCTTGTGGCCATCCTGGGCCTGCTTGGGCGCCCTTACCGATCGCGAACCGACCCTTTAAGACCTCAGGAAGGGGGGGGGTGGGGGGGTAAAAATTCCCGAGGGGAAGAGGGTCCTTGGAACTGGAAAGAAGGATATCGCTGGACCACCTTAGCCCAAAGGGCTGGTGGTATTCCGACTGAAGATAGCAAAGACACACCTGTTTTCAATCGACATCTCTCTTTCGCTTTGAGAGCATGGTTGCTTGCTATGAGCTCATTGCCGCGACCCTTCCCCTTTGGGCACCCCCGCGCTGCCGGTGGCAAGAGATCGCAGGGCCGCGGGGCCGGGCCAGGGCGGACGAGCGAAGGCGGGAGGGTTCGCGGGGGTCGATGGCGCGGGGGCGGTGCTGAGGCCTGGAGGAGACCGTCGGGGAGAGACCGTCGCTGAGGGTCGGATCTCTCAGACGTCTCGTGTCTTCTTGTTCTTCTTCTAATTCGTATTTGCGTTATGCTTCTTCTGGGGACGAGGAGGAGGAGCAGCAGCAGCGGGAAGGAGAAGGAGGGGGGGAGAGGCAGGGGCATGACATGAAGAACGGCGGGAGGAGGTTGGTCTACGCTTAAGGGTAATAAGTGGAGCAGGAACGATACGAGGGACAGGACTGGGACTAGGTGAGAGGAGGAGAAGGAATGGGAGCAGAATTCTGAGTGGAGGTGGCCAGATCGAACGAGTCAACCAACGGACTCCTCCCATTCCCACCCTCCCTCACACAACATGAGAATCAATGGTGGCACAACTTGAGATTGGTACTGGAGCGCGTTCCCACCTAGCGCACGGAAGGCGCTCGCGTGCGGTCCCGCTTGTCGGGGGGAACAGAAACGCGGGACGCGCACGGGCGGGTTCGGAACTTCAGAAGATCCGTGCACGGCCTTGCGGTGAGAGCATTTTTCTGGCCTTGTCTCGGGCAGCCAAATATCCGATGAATGCGGCGAAGACGAAACGCACAACCTGTCCGGTGTTTAGGAAGGTCTGCATTTCGATTGCTCTCGCGCGGCCTCGCTGCCGCTGTAGATGTCGGGTCATTCGGTGAGCGGAAAAGGCGCCGCGCCCAGGCGGGAGCGCCACCCCCATGCGAACCTGTGCGCGAAGAGCGAGGGCGACAAGTCGCCCGCTCGCGCGCGGACCCGCCCCCGGTGGCTTGGCGAGCGAGGGGTGTGTGCCGCACGGAGGTGGGAGCCTTAGCGGGCCCTGGAAACGACAGGGCCGTTTTTTTTACCGGTTCCGTTTTGCCGTTTTTGTTTGCCGGTCCCGACGCCGTTGTTTTACCGGTTCCGTCGCCGTTCTTTTACGGGTTCCCGCTCCGGCTCCAATCCTGGAGCCGTGTTTGTTGCCGTTTCCGGTCGCCGTTTTTTTGCCGTTTCCATCTTCAAGGGGCACTTTTTCGGAAACGGTGAACAAACGGCCCTGCCGTTTCCGGGGCCCACTATGGTGGGAGCGCCACTTTCGTGCGAAAGTTGTGCGGCGCCGAGGCGAGAGTTACTTTTTCTTCCGCTCGTGCGTCGACTCGTTGGCGAGCGAAGGTTGTGCACCGCATCCCAGCGGGAGCTCAATTCGTCACGCTTCGCGTACCCCCACCAGGTCCCCGCCTGTGGGCTGTGTGGGTGCGTACTCTGAAGCTGCGACGGTTCGCTGGCGCTGTCAGAGCTAACCTTTCGTACGGGATGCCAACTGACGACTGCTCTTTTGTCTTTCGGTTGATGCTTGTGCATGGCAGGGCCCCTGGATCCCCTTGCACTTCATTCCCGCCGAGGTTGGGGACTTCCTCCTGTTCAGTTTGTGTCACAGGCTGCTTTTGTCCTGGGTGCTGGGTCCCCTTCAGACTCCCTGGGCAGCAGCACCCTTGCACCCGCCGCTCGGCGCCGGCCGCGGTACACGCGCGCCTCCGGCCAATTTGTAGCGGCCGCAGCCTGACGGTTACCCGCCGCCGCTGGCGCTTCCGCCTGCGGTAATAATAATAATAGTAATAATAATAATAATAATAATAATAATATATATACATATTAAAAAAATAGCTCTGTGCCCCAGCCGCCCTGATTGACCCGCCCGCTGGGATCGTCCGTTGGGCCGCAGATCAAAAAGTACCCCCACCAGCCCATTCACAAACTCTGCCCATGAGAGCTGACGGGAAAAGGGGCGAAGAGACACATCTAGCGAAAAACTAGTGAACAGAGAAATCTCTGGGAGCAAGAGGGTGGTCTTGGAGGGCCTCTTCGGGCCATCCCTAGGTCCCGGGTAGGGGCGAGGAAGAAGGACGATGAGGAGGATGAGGAGGAGGAGGAGGAAGTCGACGAGGACGACCACGACGACGAGGAAGAGGAGGAAACGGAAAAGGAAGACGATGATGGCAAGGAGGAGAACAAGGAAGAGGAAGAAGAGGAGGAGGATAACGAGGACAAGGACAGAGCCTTCAAAATCGCCTCTTGGAGCCCTCTTGGG